AATGTAGTTAGTCATCTCTGGTGTTGATTATGCACTGAGGGTCAGCATTTGTGATAATGTCAGACACATTTACAGATTTTCCTCAGATGCCTCACTTTATATTATTCTTTCAAACAAGTTTGATTAAAGTCCCTTTTTTTTGGTATTTTGGGACAGATAAATGTGGCATGAGTCCCACATATAGGTACACGGTTAATCTATTTGAGTAACTGGTATCTGTGAGCACTTGATAAGTCATATGTAAGTAAGTAAATAGTAAATGTCTGTTTTTTTTATTGTTGTTAAATAACAAGTTTACATGAATGTATTATGTAATGCTGGTTTTAAAATCCTATAGTTGTTAAAAAATAAATAATGAAAACATCAGCTTTATTTAAGATTTAAATAATAATTAAAAAATCTTGATTGCAATGCTAAAGTTATATTTGAGCATACAAATATAAAGTTAGATTTGATTATGATACACTGACACAAAATTAACTGGAAATCTGCTTGATTTTAAGACACCCTGGAGTACTTGGTGAGATTTTAACATATTTGTGTGTGTTGAACATCAGTTAAAACTACATTAGCAGTTAGCTTTATTGTGGGGAAAAGTGGAAAATTTTGTCAGCTACTTTTATCTTTCAGGTTAAAAATCATTTTTGTGATGGGATCAAAATCACTGATGTAGCGCCCATCTGCGAGTGGAGTGATGTCGGTTTTTCATTATTTTTCATAGCAGAGTTTTCATAACTTATGAGAAGATCCTGCTTCTTAATAATTCATGCCAGCACATGCTTTCCGATGACAGACCCATATGAACAGACTTGCCAAGCTATGAGACTGCATCTGCGCATGACACGCAGTATTTAGCCGTTCATGAAAGCTTATATGTGTTTGTTTCCATGATCTACAGAGTTTGTTGCATGGCTTGTCAGGGCCACCAATACAGCCAATCTGTTTGCGTGCAGAAAGCATTTTTGTCGAGAGAGCGAGATTTGGAGAATGGCAGACTTTGTCTTTAGTCAGTTGAGTTTGTTACCATTCAGACACATCGCCTATATCCATGCTGTTGTGTTTGCACATGTTTAAAATCCTTTAGATTACCGGCAGGGCTAATGGTTGGAATAGATAGGGAAAGAGATCTGCTGCACTGGTGTCCACGTTGTCTGCCTTCATACCAGGGAATTTAGGAGGAGAGAAGTCGTTGGTGTCACAGCATTAAGCTATTACTGTTTATTTCTTTGCATTTTAACTTGGTATACTATAATATCATGGGTCTCCTCACATTTTGTATTGGATTTTTTTTTTATGTTGAGCTAGTGAGCCAACTGACAAAAGGCCTTCTTTTTCCCCCTGCTCTGCCGCCATGCCCACTCCTCCCTCTGCTCGCAGCACTCCAAGCCCATCTCTGAGCATTTTTTTTGGTAGATTAGAGGTAGATTTGAACTGAAAGATAGGGGTTTCAAACAATAAATGGTTAATGATGTATGCAAATAACCAACCAGAATGTGGAACTTTTTAGTCATCGCAGATTTATTTGTTTCAGTATGAAATTAGCTGAAACTTGTTCTAGTGCTCTGCTTAAATTACAGTTTTAATATTACTCATATTGTGCAAATGGAAGAGTGCAAATTACTCATATTGTACTAATTTGGAAATTTCAGTGTTTCTTGCTATTTGTTTGTTTAATTTACTGACAGTTTCTAAATGGGACCATGGTTTTTTTTTTTAAAGTTGAAAATATATACAGTTGAAGTCAGAATTATTAGCCCCCTTTGATATTTTATTTCTTTTTTTAAATATATCCCAAATGTTGTTTAACAGAGGAAGGGAATTTTCACAGTATGTCTGACAATATTTAATCTTCTGAAGATAGTCTTATTTTTTATTTCGACTAGAATAAACGCAGTTTAAAAAAAAAAAAACATTTTAAGGTCAAAATTATTAGCTCCTTTAAGCTACTTTTTTCCCGATATTCTGCAGAACAAACCATCGTTATACAATAACTTGCCTAATTACCCTAACCTGCCTAGTTAACCTAATTAACCTAGTTAAGCCTTTAAATGTCGCTTTAGGCTGTATAGACGTGTCTTGTAAAATATCTAATAAAATATCATTTACTGTCATCATGGCAAAGATAAAATGAATCAATTATTAGAAATGGGTTATTAAAATTATTATGTTTAGAAATGTGTTAAAATAATAATTCTGACTTCAACTGTATATATATATATATATATTACACAGTATCTTTTTTTTTTTTTGTCTTGGAGACTCATTGGAGACACAGCAGCTTTACTGTCTGAGTCTGCTCATCTGCTCAGGTTGTCCTGAGCTTTAGCGGCTGATGGGTAAATGTAATCATCCCATGCTCCTTTGCTTTCTCTTGGCAGGAGAGACATAAGCATAGCTGTAGGGACCTCTGTCTGCACCATCAGATTCAGCACACACACACTCATGGCTCCTTCATCTGCTAGATTCAGCTGCTGATTAGTTCAGAGCTCGAGAGAAACATTCTTCATTCATCCTCCCTTGTGATCTCACTGCTGTTTGGCATGTCTGTGTTTAAAGTTGACCTTCAGCCGGAAGGTGCACCTCTTATTAAACCACAACCTAAACATAAATGTAGATTTAACGACCTGCGGTGAATCCAACCAGACAGGTCTTGTGACCGTTTGAGTCGGAGCTGCAAACCTTGAACCTGTTGGCCATCATTTCTATGTAGGTGTCAAGAGGGTCGTGTTTAACATTCATCACCTGAGACGGAAGAGCATCATTAGGGGCTGTTATCTTCACACGGTGCTTGTGTTTTTCTCCTCATTATTCCATGATCTCTTTCTCTGTTGTGTTTCAAGGTCATGGCTCTGAGCGTGTGCTTGTTCTGATTCCACGGCGCAAACACATCTCTTTTTTTTTTAACAGCGCCGCTGACCTCCTCGAATGTGGGCCAATTAAAGGAGTCTCTGACATAGGAAAGCACTAATGTGTGAAGGCTTTTTTTTTCTTCGGAAAGTGATTAAGAGAATAAATCTGCCCATTTAGGGAGAGAGAGAGAGAAGATTATAGAGACAGTAGAGGCTATTAGAGAGGACAGATGGGTGGAAGGAGCCTGGGTAATGAGCAGAAAGTATATTATAGACTAAAGTACAGTATTCTCTGCTAGGCAGCATACTTTCTGCTCATTATAAAGGCTACAGTATAATAATTAAAATATTCCAATGCCATTATATATACACTGTAAAAAAATCTGTATTTTTACAGTTTATTTCTGGCAGCTGGGGTGCAGAAAAAAAAAAAAAGTTAAATAACTGTCATTAAATTACAGAAATTTCCTTAAATTAAATTTCTATAAAATTTCTTTTAATTTAGGTTAAGTTTTTTAACCTCTGTTCATTTACAGTAAATTTCTGTAAGCACCCCAGCTGCCGGCAATAAACCGTAAAATTACAGATTGATTTTACAGTGTACTTAAATGAAAAAAGAAGTTAATGCCGTAATTCAATAAAAATAATGTGTTAAAATTATCAATTATTAATTTTTAACTTGTTGTTATGTATAAATACATGCTTTAAACAAATCGAGAGAACCAATGATTCAATGACTTTATTCATGAATTAAATTTTTTTTTTTTTTTGTTTGAATGAATCAAATGAGTGAAGGACATTGTGACTCATTACATGCATTTAGTGATGTTATTAAAGTTTTTATTTACATTAAAATAAAAAAAAATTGCAGCGGTTGTTCCAAATAACAAAACAAAAATATAACAAATTTCTAACAATATTTAGTGTAATTTCTAATGAGTGTTTTTTTTAGCAGAATAAACAACCTATATATTTTTAATGTTTCTTACTTTAAGGGCATCTATGATACAAAAATCAACTTCTGGAAGCTGCTTGGACAGAACTGTGTGTAGGTGTGGGTTTGGGCTAGGGTTAGTGATATAAACACAACAAGTCTCTTTTAAAAAAATCCCTGATGTCAAAATAGGATTCAATCCCAGGTTTTTTTTTTTTTTTGGCCCACCACATTATGACATGGGAGTGTGATTTTCCCTGCCCATCGAAATAATTGGCTGGTTTGATTAATATCTTTATGTAGTAATGTATAAAAACAAAACAGGATTTGCAAAAAAAAAATTGTCAATAAAAGATCTGTTCCAACTCTCTGTGATCAGCTGCACCTCAAGAATGAGTTTTAAACACAATTGTAATTAAGAAAAGACGGTGAAACTGCTATGTAATTCATAGCCACAGTACTTACCACACCGCCAAAGTGTCAGTAAATGTTTGTGTGTGTGTGTGTGTGTGTGTGTGTGTGTGTGTACTGCAAACTTTGTAACTGTCTTTGTGTGTGACATACTTTTAGAAAGGCTTGAATAGACTCCACCACAAATACATAAAATAAACTTTTTAAAATAAAAGTTTTGACTAATGAGCTGGATTTCTGCTTCATCCATGTCTCTGTCTGTTACTTTCACTGACTGCTGTTTATCTGATGTGACACATGAGAAGCAGAGATGCATGTGGAAATGGTGGGCAGTGAGAAGCAGCTCATTTGCATTTAAAGACACAGCCTACAAAATCAGCTACACTTAGCTTAGAGATCAACATTGGCAATTTCTGCATTTTATAATGTATAATCTGATGGATATTTTGAGCTAAAACTGGACAGACACATTCTGGAGACACCAAGTTTAAGTTTCATCTATACTAAATTTATTATCTTGGCTCTAAATGATTCCATAATGGCTGATTTACTACATGTAAACAGCTTTAATTTTCAATTGCACAGAGTTCTTGCAATGTGTTTTTATTAACTGTTTTGCACAAAAGTCATATGGGATGCTTTGCTCTTTTTTTAACATGTGGCACACATTTGAAAACACTTCAGAGTTGTACATAAAAGCCTGTATACATTCCAGTGATAAAATGTAAACACAATGTTTTCAGAATAATGTGGCAGAAATGTGTGTTCATTTAGGATGTTCACGCTATGTTTTTTTTTATTTGCAGGTCCATTGTCTCGGAGCCCTTGTGAACTTTTGCCAGTTGGTGTGGGTCACCCGGTTCAGGCAATGTTAAAGAGTTTTACCGCCCTCTCAGGCTGCGCAAGCAGAGGAACTACCAGCCACCCTCAGGAGGTGCACATCATCAACCTACGAAAAGGCAGTGCACAAGGAGCCAGAGAGAAAATGGCAGAGGTAAGAATCTTGAATTACTAGTACTTCAAAGGGCTTTTATGTGCACTACAACACCATTCCATAAGCATTCAATGACCAGTTTCAGTCATGTCTGGCACTGGTTTACACTGTATGTTTTCAAAGAAAACATTACATAGCATTCACAAATCATCATCCTGAAAATGCAATCTTTTTTTTGTAATATTGCCTATAAATTTAAATGAGTTACTACAGCCCCTGAAGGTGCATACCTCACTTTGTCCTGCAAACAGGAGAGCAAAGTTTTTTCACTGCTGTTATAATGTTGTTTTTGAAAATTTGAAAGACTTGTCTGAAGTAAAGTTATGTTTTTGCTATCAGCACAGTATTTCTTGTTAGCCGAAAGTTGCTAGGCAACAGATAAATACAAGTAGTGGACGCTGCAAAGCATGTGGTCACTTAGACCATTCCAGGGTGGTCCATTCCAATAATGAAAATTCTTATGTTTTTCCTAATTTTAATAGTATAACAATGTTAGAATAAAGTAAACAAACTTTTAGGACAAGTCAGGGTTTTAAAGGTGCTGTATCTAAGTTTTTGATTTTTCTAAAGCAGGGGTGTCAAACTCATTTTAGCTCAGGGGCCACATGGAGGAAAATCTATTCCCAAGCAGGCCAGACCAATAAAATCATGGTATATATAACTTATAAACAACACCTTCAGATTGTTTTCTTTGTTTTAATATAATCAACATAAAACATAAAGCTGGAGCGTGAGGACAACACAATCTCATAGATATTTGTAACTTTTTAATTTAGCTGCTAATTCATATGGATTAACACAATCTCATTTGTACAATTTAGTATGATTAGCTTGTCCACCAATGATAGTTGGGTTTAGGGATGTGGGTGCCACACCTCTTTTTTTATATCAGACATTTTTGTATGACTGAACTTGTACAAATTAGCTAATGCTGATTCAGGATTCTTTATTGCAGGGTTCTCAACCTTTTTCACTTTGGGCCCACTTCTTTCTCTGATAAATTTTTGTTGGCCCACCTGAAAAAATATCTTTTCTATATATATATATATATATATATATATATATATATATATATATATATATATATATATATATATATATATATATATATAGTCACTTAGTTGTGACTATGCAGATAAAATTCCACATAAGGTGTTTATTAATTAGCAAATAAATAACATGAACATTAGGTGAGCAGGCATTCAGAAGCACAGCATATGCACTCACTCATGAAATTGTAAGGTTTATAATCTAATAAATACATATTAAACCTTTCTAACATGATTAAATGTACATGCTGAATTACTATGTGTTAGTTTTGAGTCACAGTTGCAAAGTTCAATTTCAAACGGTTTATTTTCAAGATCTGAGGTGAACCATCTGCTGCTGCTTTCAATAATGTGGCAATAAATGTCATGTAAAATGACATTCAAGCTCACATTATTAGCATTTAACACTAAATGAAGTAATGAGGTTTACATGAGGTGATCAGTTTATCCAGTTGTTTACACCTGTAAGAAATAGAAATTGTTGCTAATATATCAATTTGAGGTGTTGGTTAGAACAAATACTCCTTTTATTATGGAAAATAGTCCTTCTATCGTGTGCCGTTGCTTTTATTTAGAACACGGTTTAAATCAGCCTCGCTGTTGGTGTCGTTAATCTGGCAACCTGCGGTTGCCTTTGCTTTGATCCAGGAATGCAATACCTAGTTCAACCACTGGGTGTCAAATGTACATACTGCACCTTTAATGACAAAATATGAAAATGTTATATCAAAATGACTGTCACTTTAATTCTAGTGTTAAACAGTCCAGCAGTAATATTGTCCAATTAAAAGGATGTGGAGGACCCTGTGTGAGTGCTAGTGATGACAGTTTCATAGATGAGACATCAAGCCACTGAAACCTGAAAACCAAGAGTTGTTAAAATGACTTTTTGGCAAAGCTGTTTCTTGCAGGTTTAACTTGTATTGATGAAGCCCTTATGAATATTCTTGGATTTTGAAGTTGGCTGAGGTAAAGTGAGGTTAAGTTGTGAGTTCTCTTGCTAGTAGGTGGGGGTGTTGTAGAAACAGCGTGGGGTACGTCCACAGGGTTTGCGTATAAGTTGATGTTGTAATTGCTGGAAGGACCATTTGGCTGAGATCACCGCTGACTCGTGTTTACATTATCATTTCTGTAATTACAGCCTTTTCTCGAAGTGCAAACAAATATATATAAAAAACACATTGGGGTCTACAAAAGAGCAAGATAAATTTCTGATACAAACCTTTTCTGCCCAAGTTGTTCTTTTAGAAGTCTCATTAGCAACCAATGAGTAAGGAAAGAAAATATGTTCTTGGAGAAAGATTGGCCATCAATATTTCAGCCTTCACATATCCCAAGAAAAACACCAATGGGCCTCAGGAAAGTTGGGATATGTTTTAAAGGCTGAGCCTAGAGTTTTGCAAGCGAAACGGGAGGAAGAAAGAAAGACAGAAAGAGCGAATATGGACGCAGTTGTATGGCACTATCAGCCACGCGGATCGAGAAAGGCTTTTTCTCCCTCTGAACTTTGTGTGGCTTGGGCTCACAGCTCTATTGAAATACAATATCGGTCCCTGCCGACACAGACAATGATGGCTTTAAACCGCCTCGCTTTCACTGTCGTGTGTTTTTTGCATCAGGGAGCAAGTATCACTCAACTGGGTCGGTGCAGACAAAAGCTCGCTTCTTTCCTCCTGCCAGGGTTCAAAGACCCCTTGGATTTGAGTCCACGGCGCTCCATTAGACTGCCGCTCACATTTATACCCTGTACCGTGTGCCCTCATGCATTGTAATCAGCATCGCTGTGGACGGCTGTTGTTCCCTCCACCCTGACAGACAGGAAGCAGAAGAAAAGCACACTGGCCAAAGCACAGGAGCGGAGCCCTGTAAACATCCGTGCCAGAGAGATCAGATTGTTGTTGGTGGCTTCAGTATGTGAAACAAAAGCCTGAGGAATGCTATCTGACATATCTCAAAAGAGTAAGCTACATGGTGCTGGTGAGCAAGGAAAAGGGCTTCTTTTGTTTGCAAGCTGTCAATCGCAAAGTGTTTGATAAATGTTTTTATTGGCAAAATCCGTTCCATTCAGCAGCCGACTACATTTTATGTTCAGTTTGTGTCTTACATTAGAACTTCAGACATTTGCTACATATTCAATTGAGCACCAAATTCAATTTAATTTAATTTAATTTAATTTAATTTAATTTAATTTAATTTAATTTAATTTAATTTAATTTAATTTAATTTAATTTAATTTAATTTAATTTAATTTAATTTATTTTTATTTTATTTTATTTTATTTTATTTTATTTTATTTTATTAGCTATAAAGCTGTTATTGTTTATTGAATGGCACAATACTGATGTTTACTGAAGTCTGGGTTTCTCTCCTTGCCTCGCGACCCGGCTTCAGAAAAGCAGTAGAAGATGAATGAATGAACAGTATTAATAAGTGAAGTTTATTTATAAACTAATTTCGAGAGAGTCACATGCTTATGGTTGCTAGCGGCTGAACCCACATTATCCAATTCTCAATGCACCAATCAGATGACGCCTAAGCCACTGCAAATACCCAATGTATCATTGTTATCTTCATTTTAAAGAATCCCCCCTTCCACTCCTACTCCTCCTCCTTTCTTAGATGGGTGACACGGTGGCCCAGTGCTTAGCACTGTTGCCTCACTGCAAGAATGTCACTGGTTCCAGACATTACCAAACCAGCAGACGTTTATGTGAAGAGTTTGCATGGTTTCCTCCAGGTTTCCCGGTTTCCTCCCACCGATCAAAAACATGCAACCTAAGTTTACTGACTAATCCAAATTAACACCATAGTATTGCCCCAGCCTAGGTCTTTTTTTTTAAAGCAACTACTATCTGCTCTTCAGCTACCATGACAGGGGAGTTCTCAAGATTTACCTGAGCTCAAACTCCCCTTACGCCGTGCAAACGATAGGGAGCCCCGGGCTCAAGGTTCTTATGAGCTCAGGGCTCTCTCCCGGAAAAGCATGCCAATCAATCATCAGCTCAGTGTGAACTCTTAAAATAAATAAGGGGTGTGTTTTTTTTTATGTATCCACTTAATGATTGTGTAGTTACAATTTGACCAAAGAGTAAAAATATTTTGCACACTGAATACCAGGTACTTACAGTACACATAAAGTCTGCATCAATATTGTGATAGTCTGTAATATTCAGTAGTTAAGATATACTCTAGCTGGTCAACCCGCCCAATACCGTAAAACCAGCAAATCAGTCCAGTCAAGCATTTAAGGATTTAAGACTTAAACATTTGCAGGCAATTGATCTAAACAGCAGGCTCTTTCATGGACAAACAGCAGCATGTCTGCTAGCATGACTCCTCACCATGAGTCACTGGTCATGCTATTGGATCTCGTCCTCTAAATCTGCTCTGTCAGGACTTTGCAGTGGCCTGAAACCATCTGCTGGAGATGTGTGAAAATCAACATGTCCCAACTAGTCATCAGGATTCCAGACTCCTACGACTGAAAGCGGACTGGAGCTCTGCGGATGATGAATGAGACATGTCATTTTCTGCTATGCTATATTGCCATTTGCCTTTTGCTTTAGTTGGCAAATAGCTAAAGAGCTCTATTCCCTATGATGCCGTTGTTGTGGGATTGTATCAGTATCTTGGTAACAGATTTGCCTTTTTTTGTGCTTTTCTCTTAAAACTGGCGAACAGTTGAATGTAGGCCAAGGCTGAGTTTACTCAGCACATTTTAGGGCCTTGTTGGAGTACAATATGTCTTGGTTCGTTTTCCTTATTCGGATTTATTGTGTTCATTTTTCTTCATTTTAGTGGAAAATGAAAGACTAGGATATGTATAACATGAATCGCACAAAGAAAAGCTCAGTGCTAAATACAAACTCAACAAAATAGCATGACAAATCTCAAGAATAAAGGTGCCACTGTGCGACTGTGGTCGTACCTTATCAAAATATGGGATTTTTG